AGAGAGAGAGAGAGAGAGAGAGAGAGAGAGAGAGAGAGAGAGAGAGAGAGAGAGAGAGAGAGAGACATCAACCGAGAGTGTTGACGGAGTCGTAGCTCGACTAAAGAAGGGGACTAAAGAGAAAGACAAACTTACAAGCTATGTTGCACGCTGGCCGCGGCCGGGTTCGGCCCAGGCTGCGGCCGCCGGCCTAGGCCGGGACCCCCCCGGCCGCGGCCGGTTCGGCCGAGTTTTTTCGGCCTCGGTCTCGGCCGATCTAGGGGGCGGTTTCTGAAGCGGGGAGCGGGTTTGAGGTGGGGGGGTGGGGGGGCACCCCTTCACAGTGGCAGAGCGTCAAAAAAATAAAAAACGGGGGGGTCCTGCACATGGCCCTGGAAGGGTGGGCCGCGAAAATTCGTGTGTCGGGCGCGTGCGGGTTCGTCGATGCGGGGTCGCAGGGAGGAGGGTCTGGAACACTAGAAAAAAATAAATAAAAAATTTGACCCCTGCGGAGGCGGCCCAACGGGGGTTGGATGAGGGCCTGGTTGGGGCGGCCTGTGCGGCCAGGTCGGCTCGAAGCTGGACGGGGCTGCAGATGGCAGACCCTAGGCAGATCAGGGCCTCAGGCAGGCGTCGATTTCATTCGTGAGGGTGATGACAGTTCGTGACATATTTTGAAACAACACATTCATGGCAATCATAGGTCAGACCCTGGTTGGCATACCAAAGTCAAAACACATTCACAATCAATCACAGTGCGGCCAACCATAAGTTTCAAACAATGTTAACAGGCAAGTGTGTCATAGTGTGTGTTCACTCATCAGACTGGTGGAAGTTTGTGTAAGAACACATTCATTAGCACATCATCCCTATTTGGCATCCGAAATTAACAACACATTCATAATGGAGGCATCCATGACATGCAGGTGCGTGGCATCAGAGAAGCACATAATTTGCAACAATCACGACAACAAACCAAAAACCACTCACCAAACAAAGCAACTCAGATGCAAGACCAATGTTGGTAGAGGAACACGAACAAGAGCAATATATATGACAAAGCATTTCAATGGAAATGCGTATGTACAAGGCGGAAGCAGAAAACTGGACCCGTCGTCTCTACTGTACAACCGAGTAGCAAAAACAAAACAAGACCCTACTGACAAAGCATTTCGATGGAAATGCGTATGTACAAGGCTGAAGCCAAAAACTGGACCCGTCGTCTCCACTGTACAACCGAGTAGCAAAAAAAAAAAAAAAAAAAAAAAAACCTAATGTCCACATACTATCGTCATCTCCATGGAACAGCATCGACATAAATATGCAACAACCCTGCCGACAGAGCGTCCAGGCTGTACAGCCACGCAAAAAATAAAATAAAATACCGCGGGCGTCGTCATCTCCGTCCAGAGCGCACGCGGCCTCTCCCGGCGGACAGGCGGCCATGCGATCCTCCCCGACGCCCTCCTCTCCCTCCAGCACCTGTGCCCCGTGCCCCGCTGAGGTATGCCGCTTGTGCTGCAGCGGCTGCCGCGGCCACCTGTGCCCTGTGTCTGAGGGCCGCAGTCTCGATCGGCTCGGACTCTGTGTCCTCGTGCTCCGCCGCCCGTCTCTCTCCCTCTTAATCGCGTCCAATGCTGTCTGGCCAGTGGCAACCCCTGCCGCGAGTTGAGCCTCAACCTCCGAGAGGCTGCGCTGTCGTCTAGTCCCGGGACGCATCAACAACCCCTCCTCGCCCGATGTGTACTGTTGTCCCCGCAGCATGTCCGTGGATGTCCCTGCGGCCTCGAGGACCAATGATCTCCTCGTCTCCGCACGTGACAAACCGAGCATGCGGCCTGCCATCTGCAGGCTCGGACGTCCTGACCCACCCTCCGCAGCCTGCGTCTATAATGGCGTACATCCCGAGAAGATGCCCCTCCCGGCGTCGTAATCCGCCCCCAACTGGTCCCCGACCCGACGAACAGCTGACCATCCGCCACCCACACCACCTCGGACTCTCGGCGGGGAACCGCCACTGTGCGCAACTCCGGGTGCCGCCGTCTGGTCCCCGACGTCGACCACAGCCTCCGGAGTCCGTGCGGGCGGTGGCGGCATCCATCCTGCACTGTTTCTGCCGCCGTCGCTGCGTTTGACGGACCCCACCTCACCCGCTCCGGACTCCCTCCCTCTCACGCCGCTGAGCGACGAACCCGACCATCGAGGGCTCTGCACCACGAACGGCGGCAGTGAATACACCCTCCCAGTGGCCCGCCTCTTGCCGCTCACGCAGCCCATGTGTGCGAAAGGGTCATCCGTCAACGCTTGCGCCAAAGCGTCGACGTCGAAGAAAGTGTGCGCTGAGTCGTCGAGGTGCAAGGGAGGTACTGTGGGGTCCCTCAACACCAGGGCGAGCCTATACGCATCGTCCTCGGGACCATGGTCGTCATCATCATCTTCGTCCGGTCCATCGTCTCCCCCGACACCCGCGGTATCCCCATCTCCACCGGGTCCACCCTCTCCCCTGCCACACACGGGGGCACCCTGTCCCTCATCACCCGTGGTCTCGCCGTCGCCACGCCCCCCACGAGGGGACCCACCGCCCTCGACAACATCTTGCCCCTCATCACCCGCGGTCTCCCCGTCGCCACGGCGTCCACCACCTGACCCACTACCCGCGGCGACATCCTGTCCCTCATCATCGAATTCCCCCTGAACTGCCTCCTCAGGGACACCCGAGTTGTCGTCATCACGGCCTCCCCCCCCTCCTGTCTCCAACTCCCTCTGTCGACGCTAGTCGTCAAGATACGCGAACTGACCCTCCCATCGTGGCAAACTCCCCAACCGCTCCTCCTCTCGGTCCAAACGGGCATCTCTCTCCTCCTCAGTCTCAACAGGGCCCCACACAACGTCCGCGTCTGTGCTCACCTTCGACGGTGAGGCACGTCGACTTCCCTCGACACTGAAATCTCCCAAGCCCCCACCAAGCCCTCCGACGTCAAAGTCGTGTGTGCGGAGCTCCGACGGCGAGCGGGGGCGGATACCGGCATCGGAAGGAGTCCTCTCCTCCCCACGATCCTCGCCGTCATGTGGCCGCTCTCTGCCTGCTGCCAACGCCAACCTCTCTGAACGCCTAAGTGCCTCGAGTTGTGCAGTGCTCCGATGATGGGAGGGAGAGAAGCGACGATCGTAAGGGGCACCCGCTCATCCTCGTCCTCCTCCTCGGCCTCGCTGTCGCTCCTAACCTCCCAACGCCTGCCTGTCTACCGAAGACCTCCCCGTGGCTGCTGCTCCCCCGAGTCGTCGACGCCAACCTCCGCATGCGAACGTCCTCCATGACCACCACCGGCTCTGCTGTTGCCACTCACCTGTGCGGTCGACGGCACACCACCAGTGATAACTGATGTGAATGAATCCATGCCGTCACGTCCCCCACCGTAAGTGAAGCACACCCGCTCAGCCGTTGGGTCGCCACTTAGCGGCGTGTCATCATCGTCTGTCCACTCGTCGTCGATGTCGTCGTCTGCCGCAGCAGCGTCCGCATCATCCCCACCCTCTGGCCACGGTTGCAGCTCCGTCGCCCTCTTGCCGAACATGTCCCGAACCGAATGGGCTCTGGACGGTCGGCAGTCATGGAAAGCGACAATCTGCCGCTGGATCTCCTACTCGGGAACATTGCCAGCAGGTCGCGCTCCCCACACCTCGGGCTCCACGTCTCCCTCCTCATCCTCGTCCTCTGCCGTCGTCCCCTCCCGACCGGTCCCCATAATCCATGGCAACACGTAGCCACCACCCTGTCGTGCGCACGAGGCCAGTTTGAGATTGGTGGCAATCTCAACCAGCTGTGCAAGCTTGGCAAACCCAAGCTTGCAGCGCATCGACGTGTTGATGCGCTGTCGGAAGACGATGCGGCGCAGCAGTGGAGATTGACTCGTCGCGGTCAACCCCCACGC